TCAATAGCATCCCATGCCGATCCGTGGATCTCTGGCCAAAATATATTGGGGGTTATATTAGGGTTATGTTGGGGTAATATTAGGGTTAGATTAGGGTTAGATTGGGGTAATATGAGGATTTTATTGGGGTTATATTAGGGTTATATAGGGATAATGTTAGGGTTAGATTGGGATTATGTAGGGGTAATGTTAGGGTTAGACTAGGGTTATATAGGGGTGATATTACGGTTATATTAGGGTTATATTGGGGTTATGTTGGGGATATATTAGGGTTGTATTCGGGTTATGTTGGGGTTATATTGGGGTTATATTAGGATATATTAGGGTTATATTGTGGCGAGAACTAAAACTGCCCAAAAAACAATATGTCCGAGGCAGTTGAGAGTCCAACATGGCAGTCGAAAAAAACGATTATGTCACCAGTGGCGGCATCCCCTCCAGTCTTCTTTGCTCCGATGAGCCCCACTGTGTGCTCGTGCCTCTTGATGAGGATCTTGTACTTCTCTTGGACTTCTGCATTCAGGTGCGTCTGCGAGAGCGGCGGATTGCCTGCGTGTCACTCCGCAAGTGTACCCTGTCAGGCACTACTTGCAGAATGTCTACTTTCATGTCAAGGCCAGACCAGCATGCTTGCAAGCAAGGCGCTGCCATCATCAACGACCACTATCTCATGCAGAATGTCCGCCGGCGTCGTTTCGAAAACCGACTTCACTGTTTTGAACTTGGCAGCCAAGCTTAACATATCTTAACAGCCAGGACTGCCAAGACAGGCGCTGCGGCCCAAACTACGGTGAGAAAGGAACATCAGCACCTGCTACTGACAGAATATCAGCTCGGTATACTTTTGCGAAGAACCCTTGTTTGGTGGCCCACTTGAATGAACCCCAACAGATCGGGGATTGAGCTCCCTACAGTATACTGCAGAATCCTACGTGAGCCCCGAAGTAACTACGGTCGCCAACTCCTAGGCTTGAGCTACCCTGTTTGGCAAGGCTCGGCGAGGTCTCGTTCCTCAGCGCAAGGAAGGACCTTGGGTGTTGCCGGATCAGCCATCACACATATGAAGAATGATGACAGGCATACATCTGGCCAGCGACAACTCAAAAACTGTGTTCAACTCCTTTAAATCACCAGAACCGCCGCTGTCACTACCATGACCATCGCCACTTCCACCTTCCGCCACCAGTTCCACTTCCTTTAGCAAACCATCACCACAGCCGCCACCACCACCACCACCACCGCCGCCGCCGCCGCCGCCGCCGCCGCCGCCACCACCACGGCCGCCGCCGCCACTACCACAACGCGGAGAGTCACTACCGCTTGCAAGTAAAACAGCAGAAAAAAAAAAAACGATGAATGACTATCATAGAGTCCGACCACTGCTCATCTATGCACTCACGTAAGCTGAGGCCAAGGCTACGGAGATTGTTTGCGGCGCCCACCTGGCAAATCAAGTTTATTGCAGACCTTCTGACGCTATAGCAAGGTCTAGCATGGACATGCTTCATGCTATAGCCTTTCGGGCTTGACATGGCCTTTGTGAACAATACTAGAAGTATCGTTTTGCTGGTCATACCGGCACTACCGTTACCAAACCTGATACATGCGGGTCCCTTGTACAGGGACCCTCAAAAAGGAAACGCTGATTTTCGGAAGCCGTAGTGGCTTCAGTTCGCGGCGTTAAGATCTATACCAGACCAACAAATACTCCTGCCATCCTAAGCCGTCCTTTGGGAATCCTGCCACCCTACACAGGCCGGTTGTTAAATTTCGGCAGAGCACCCCTAACAAAGATCCTAATGCATGAAACTCCATAATTAGGCTAGGCCCCAAACCCCTTCTTGGGGTTAAGGGTTTAGCGTTAAGCGTTCACGGGACCAACCAATCTTCAACCCACTAAACTCTAAATCCTAAAGCCCTACATCTAGGTAAGCACATTTCAAAACACTTGTGTTCCCATACTTAGTGAATTGTGAGGCGCTGTAGTGCACTAGCTGGCAAGGGCTTGGGTTTTTCTCAGTCTACCATGCCTACAAAAGCCTTTCTGATCCTAGTTTCGATTGTATGTTCCAGTTAAATTTCCATTGCCTTTCCATTTGATTCTCCAATACTGGGGGTAATATCCCCAAAAATCCCTATACAACCTCCTCTACAATCCCCTGTTCAATCCCCTGGAGATTCACCTACACGACCTCTTTAATTCAAAGGGTGCCACCCCGGCGTCGTGTCCCTAAACCCTACACCCTGAACCCCAAAACC